TCGGCAATGGTGAAAACGGTTCTTTATAATTCTGATCCATTGTTGATTTTCATCATCAATTTAATATAGTTTTTATTTTCCATTGCATTATCAATGCATTAGAACCAAAAGGTGACATGAGGTAAAAGGCCACAAGATAGAAGCAAATCCACGGTTTCGGCAGAATGAGCCACACAGAATGACAGAAATATACTAACGGAATCTAACTTCTATTTTATATAAGTTTGATCACAGCAAAAGTTGTCGTCTGATAATCCAGTTCATCAAGGTTTTATACTCAATCTGTGTGTGGGTTTCTGGACCATAGGTTTGAATGGTCCTTTATTTCTGTGTTAGGACCATGTGAGAGGCTGCTGACCTGTCCAGGGTGAAGCCTGTCGTGACCTTTGACCTGTAATAGGGTTAGGTCTTGGATCAGTGGATCGACAACAACAGTTACCCACAGGCACAGTACATTTATTCTGCTCGAACCTATAAAGCCCATCTGCACCTCCTATAGGGTCCATAGTGGTATTACAATGGGTTGTCCTTTTCTTTTCCACAAATTCAAATGTTTTTGAATGTGTCATGGACAGACGATGCTGTCACTGGCAGGTGTATTGTTTGACAAGTGTTTTTAACTAAAATTAAGACAACATGAATTATAAACTTTACTCTAATAATACTGAGAAAAATAACAAAGAACTGTTATACCTGACACTGGTCTAATTTAAAATCCAAGAACCCCCGATCAGCTGATTAAAATCAGATGAAAAGGTAGAAAATTAAACTAAATGTTTTTAAAACTGAACCCGTTAAATTCCATAAATACCCATCAGCTTGTAAACATCACCACTTTATTTCAGTGACGCATTTCATTCTATTGTCGGTAAAGATTGACGTGTTTGGGTCACATTTCGCTGGTAGGCGTTCTATCAACAATATAAGAGAATGTGAGCTATGCATGTAGCAGTGTGTAAACAAAGCTGATGACCTTCTGTTGATCCTTGGACTGTGTCCATGGCTCTGCAGTAGGAGGCGCCCGAAAGCTCTAACAAGGTGTTATGATGTTTCAGGGAGATTTAAAGGTTCATGTGTCAGTGGGTCCAAACACCAGAACCAATAATGTGTCATATATTCTTTAACCGGTAGTTCTCAAAAGTTGACCCTGGATCCTTGGCGGGGATCCACAAGGCATTATCAGGAATAGGCAAAATCATTTTAAAACATTGACGATATGACATATCTGCAGATGGTGACTAGTTTATTTCTATAAAATGTTAATGTTTACCTCCTTAGCGAACCAATTATTTCCTAGAGAGCTATAGGAGGTCCTCCAATATTTTATAAGCTTCATTTGATTTGACCTCAATTTATAATCCTGAAAGCGAATAATACAGTTGTTTTACAAATATTATATGGGTGTACTGATAAATTGTAATATAAATATATGGAGTGTGATTAATAGAATATATATTTAGATCACACACGTCTTTTATCTCTTATCCCTTCCTGCACACAGCACATGTACAAAAGATGGTCATGTGACATGTGGCCTGGTTGCACTTATTGCTATTTGGACTGATTTTAGGAATGTGCCACTGATACCATTGAGCCTTCACTATCCCAGTTTCAGTGACCTACTTTAGACAGCTATGGGAGTCGAGTCTATAAAAGGCAAATCCCTTCAAAAATGAATATTTTACATTCATCATCTTTTAGGAATAATTTAAACACCAAAAATATCATGAAAAACAGACACTTCACCTTTAAGGATGAATAAATAGAAACATGTTATATTTGTTTTGATGTCAGGAAAACCAAAACGTAGATATAACGTGACACGTCTTCAACAGGAAGTGCTGTGATGCAGCTGGTGAATCTTTTGTCCTCTGGCAGAGTTAAGGCAGAGTGTCTCTGATAATGTCTGTCTGCTGCTGCAGCCGTATGTTTAATACACAGGCAGGAATGTGTATTGATCCTCTACTCTGAGTCTTGGCAAGAGAGCGAACAAGTGCAGTTCCCTGGTGTCGAAGCATTGATTTCTTGTTAATCCTTCAACACTGATACTTGGTTTATGTTTGGCACGAGAGACGATGAAACGATTTTAAATTGAACTGCAACTATACTTTTGATATTAAGTTTTCTTGTTGCATGTCTTTGAGTTTTGACGTTCAGGGCAGCTTGGACATTTGTCTCTGCCCTCCTGGACTAGGCAGCTTGATATGGACATTTGTCTCTGCCCTCCTGGACTGTGTTGACCAACACTGTATTTAAAGTTCCTCAGTTTCTTCAGCGAAGGCCAACTCCTGTCCTCCAGGCTAATCGATGTGAGTTTGGGTTGCTGCATAATTGTGCATTCCACAGACACTCTGAAATGTCACAATTAATCCATTAGGATAATGGCGGGGGCTTAATGTACGACGGGTTTACTGCAGTAATTGTACTGTTCAGTTTTCATCTCACCTGTTGACTGAGATCTTATTTTCTCTCATCCTGTCTCTCCACACTGATTATATTATTGTTCTACTAATGTGAACCATTCATTCTCATTCGTGTTGACGTGTTGTATTAGGATTTACGATTGAGCTCATAGTTATGTGAATGTTGTTTTTTTGTTGTTTACGTTTGGTTGTTTAAGTCTTTTATATTATATGTATATTATTCATTTATTTTTTGTAGCCTGTTGTTTAAATAACTTTAAATTGAATTGCACTTTAACTCCACTCTGCATTCTTTATAGTTGTGAAGAAGCTAAAAAATAACGTTCAGCTGATAGAAAATTTGACTAATCTGCGGGCCTTATTATTAATTGTTGATGTAATATGTTTCATTTCCATACTTTGGTGTAGGACTCTACTACTTTGCCTCTCCATGCTGGTTGTAGGTGATTCCATGCCCCTGACCTTAAACGTTCTCACCCATGGCTATTATGGCAAGTAGTGACCACCAGAGGGCACCGTTTACCTACCTGTGTCAGTATCCTGCACCGACCAACAGCCCAGCTGCTGGAGGACATCATTACACAGTCAATAAAGCAATAGTCAGTCATTTTCTCTGCTTAATTGATCCCAGTGCCAGGCAACAAAGCGTGATGTGACATTTTTTACTGCAGCAGAAACAGCAGCGTGCCTCCGAGTACGACATGCTATTTGTAATTATCTTGTTGTCCTGCTCGTGCATGACGCTGCCATCTGCATACGGTGTGTAGTACACTTGTTGGTCAGTGACCCGGGTCAGGGCCATGGCATTGAGTTGTGCCCGGAGCCATTCGTACGGCTGTAACCGCATTGCCCTAGTATTGGCCGGTGCATGAGAAACTGGTCAGGAAGAAAGAATACCTCGGAGTACTCCTGTCTGTGTAACAAATGGATACAATAGGACACAAACACACTGAAAGACTGAAAAGACAGATTTAAGGACAAACCACCTGCATACGAACAATAGAACAGACAAAATATTCTTATTGTATATTATGTAATATTTATACAGTATATATGCAATTAATATATACGAGACGTATACAAAGTTTGGAAAACACCTTGAACCAGGGATCTGAACATGTATTACTGCAGGACAAACAGCCAGTACACCTCTAGTACACATCCTTTTGTCATTCTTAAAAACAAATTATCTCTCTGTCATTATTAAATTATCATTGAAATCTAGTCATGGGCCAGATGTGGTGGGGTCACGGGCCGAAAATGGTCCCCAGGCCCTGACTTGGTGGTTATTGAGTCTTTGTGAGGGGTTGTCACAAGATGTAAACATGGCAAAAACAACCAGAAATGCTGGAGCGTGTATTCTGAGCAGAGCACAGAGTACTTATATATGTATTTATATGTTTATATTTAAAGAAGTGAGAACTTAATTTCATGTTTCAATTTCACTCGGATACAAACGCCTGAGATCACTGTTCCAACACCAACAAAACTAAATTATGTGTAAAAGTCAGGGCTGTCTGACTGAGCAGGTGCGACTGGACCAGAGTGTGGGTGCATTCTTAGAGCAGTGCTGAGGAGAGTATAGAAACACAGTAAATAGAACAGTGGACATACAACAGTAGGACAGTAAAGCAGCTGCCAGGAAGACACTGAGGAGCAGTAGCCGTCAACAACCTCTCCTGGATACTAGTACCTTTGGTTTGATCGTTATTGACTGTATGCATTAAAAATGGTCATTAATTCTGTGTTTCCCAAACACTGGGTTGCAAGGTGTGTCGCAATTTTATTTTTTTTTTTGGGTCGTCTTGCATTGTGTTTCCCAGGAGTTTACGAATAATGTCTTATTTGGGTCGCAAGGGTTTATGACTTTTAAAATACGGGTCCCCAGAAAAACAGTTTGGGAAACACTGGTCTAACCTCAGTCTGGAAAGATTTCCACCTTTAGGAATTCAGGGCAACGGGGCTGAAAACGTTAAGGAGGAATTACCCCAAGGACAACACAAGGGTTAAGTGTGGAAAACTCTCTGTGTGTGTGTACGCATGAGCAGAAGTTGGTTGGTTTATTCTGTGTCTTCACAGCAACTCTGACTCGGCCACTCCCTGTGCCGTCAGCCTGGCAGGGTGGAGCTGACAGAACTGCACATGTTTTAAGCATGCTCTGCTGCCTCCCTCCCTGTCTACCTCCCATCCCCTAACACTCACACTGCCACTCTGAAAACGAAGAGGAAAGTGTGTGTAACCATCAGCTACACTTTTTTTTTTTTTAACAAATCACCAGGGTTTCCCCACCCTCTCAGAGTCTCTCTCTCTCTCCCTCTCTCTCTGTCTCTCTCTCCCTCTCTGTTATTGCTTCCTCCCTCCTGTCTCTAAGCACGCTAACCAAAGAAGAAAAAAAAAGTGCAGGGGAAAAAAAGTGATAAGCAGCTTCTGGGTTTT